TGTGTGTGTGTGTGTGTGTGTGTGTGTGTGTGTGTGTGTGTGTGTGTCCTCCAGGGTTGGTCCTGCTGCAGGAAAAGGACGACGGACTTCTCAGAGTTTCTCTCCATTAAGGTAAAAAACCAGCTCGGGGTCAAACACTGTACTGTTTGGTTATTATTAACTTGATTCTGTTCATTTTCTGCTACTTTACTCTTCCACTCGTCTACAGTCAGAGGATGAACGTTGCTCCTGTTACTCCACTACATTTATTTGACACCTTTAGTTACTGAGATTAATTATACAAAATGTTATTATCGGTTTAAAAAGACTCTTAAATCAACACACTAGCAGTAGTTTATAGCTCAATCTCTACGTGCTGCAACATTAAAGTGCCGTTCACATTAATGGAGCGATGAATTTGTGCCAAAACACATTCCAACGTTAATCTGAAATTATGTATTTAAATCCCCTTCTAGGCTGTTTACATAGCAACTCATTAGGAAGGTATTTTTTAATGGCTGAATCATATAAAAATCAGTTTCAGTGCTCATATGATGATGTGTTTAACACTGACCTGGACAGATGTTAGTGCAGCTACATTGTGAGGTACCGTGTGCTGCAGTAGCTCCAGTCAGTCTCCTCTGTGGAGGATTATTTAGGACACCACCACTGACATCAGGTTCCCATGAGAAAGACAAGTAACATGTGAAGTTTGAGGTTCTGTGCGGACTCGAGGTGACCGCCTCTCTTTCTCCAACGCAGGGCTGCACCCGCGGGCGCCACAGCGACGAGAAGCCCCAGGAGCCTCTGCGTCCGGAGGTGTCCTCGGATAAAGGCGAGATCAAACACACCAACGGCGAAGAGATCATCTACCGGGGACCCAAGTCTGCTGAGATGCTGCAGAAGGAGAGACCCAGGTGTGTGTGTGTGTGTGTTATCGCAAGATTGCTCTTTTACATGAGATAACTGGAAGGTGTGTGAACACCTCTCTGGTGCTCACATGCATGCAGCTGTATGGATGAGGTCGCCTTCAACATCCCTGGAATAAATCATTTTGTGGCAAACACCATGCATCAAGCCCTGCAGGCCTCTCTGTGAACCTGAGCTTGTGTTTTCATTGTGTGTGTGTGTTAACATGAAAGTGTGTGTGTGTGTGTTTTTATTTGCAGTTCAGACGAACCCATGACCAAGCTGCCCCACAACGTGTCTGCATCGCTGGCTCAGGTGCTGCTGAAACTGGACATCAGCAATAAAGCTGAGGAGGAGAAGAAAGGTCAGTGTGTGTGTGTGTGTGTGTGTGTGTGTGTGTGTGTGTGTGTTATCTGAGCAAGATTTTATTTATTTATTTAATACAGTGAATTAGTGAGTGAATATTTAAACCTGTTTCCAACACTAATCAACTTGTTTTAAGACTTTTCTGATCTAAGTGTCTTTGTCTTTAAACTTCTGCTGTAGAATCAAGAATAATTAAACTTTGCGTCATTAATACTTAAAGCAACTTCATTTATATTGGAAACGGCTTCAAATATTCAGACTGCACTCAGATTTCTTTTCATGTTTTGAGAAAATTCATCTACAGACAAAAATCAACTTGATGTGTGTACATGTTGTGTGTATTCTGTTGTGTTTGCTTAACCGTGTTTAGGACTAAATGCGTGTTCGTGTACGTTTGATGCAGAATTCAAAAACATGTCACGTCACATGTCATGTTTCTACGGTAGCCCAGAAGGGACAAACCAAACACTGGCTCCAGATCGCATTCGTTTCATTAGTTCCCCTCCTCACTCACACACACACACACACAGGAGAAGTTTCAGTTGGTTGCAATCTGCAACCTCACCACTAGATGCCGCCAAATCCATGCGCACTGCACCTTTAAGAAAATAAAACTTCAAGTGGAGGCAAACTGAAGATATCTTTTCAGTGAGTGACACGCTCCTGGTTTCCTGGTCCCACCCCTCTTCTTCTTCTTCTCTCTCTTCTGACAGAGGGTGAGGCGGTCCGGGCCGGAACCCGATGCAAGAACGCAGGATGCAAAACGGTGAGTGTCTCTTCTATTACTTGTTCACCTGAGAGAGTCTGTGTGTTTGTGTTAGTCGGCAACTTCTGTGGCCCGAAATACTCCAGACTGTCTGACATCAGCAAAAGATGAGAAATTCATCATCCACACACACACACACACACACACACACACACGCTTAGTAGCATTTTTCAGTTCAGTTCATCACTTCTGTACTTCAGTGTTGTAAAGCTTATTAACAGCTCCATCTAGTGGACAAGTGAGGTAACAACACATATGACAGATCACTCTGCTGTACTTTGTCACTTTTATAACCTGTCTCGGTCCATTTCTTTTTTACAAAAATAAGTATTCTTCTGACTTCAGTCCATAAATAGAGCAGAAATAATTACATTTACTCAGGAAAACCTTCAAAGTAAAACAAGATCAAAGCGTCTTTTGTGAACCCGTCTGCACAATGAATGACCCGGCTCGTAGAGAAACTGTCACGTGTTCCACGTTGTTGATCGTTGTGTTCGTGTCTTCAGGTGTATCAAGGCCCGGAGACGGACACGGAGGTCTGCACCAACCACCCCGGAGCTCCCGTCTTCCATGAAGGGTGAGACACAAAGACACACCGCTGCCAAGTCTCCACTTCTTTACTCCGGATATTACAAAAGGCCTTATGCACAAACAACAAAATCATATAACCATACTCCTATTATCACATTACAATCTTTACAAAGAGGAAATGCAAACTAAACTTCTTACCTGTGACAACTTGTTCCTGTGCAGGTATAAGTACTGGAACTGCTGCTGCATCAGGACAATAGATTTCAACGCTTTCCTGGACCAGAAAGGCTGCAGCACAGGGAAACACCGCTGGATCCCAAAGCAGGTATACCAGCACCGTCCGTGAGGGGAAGACGATGTGAAAGGAAAGGACCAGGTTCGAAGTTAGCAGGAAATTGACCCGGAAATGACACCGGAAGCTGACAACCCCAACAAAAAGAAGCTCATTTAAAATCTTTTTTTTGGTGATTTTCGATCACAATATCGACAAAAACACACTAAACATTAGCGATACAAGTCCTAAAAACGTGAGATTTATGCATATCCGATGCTGTAATGAGGGTTTTTATGCAGTTAAACTGTCACTCCTACACGTTCAGCACACATTACCTGCTCTCAGGTGTTCCCGTCAGCAGCACTCATGCATTGATTGTTGTTTACTGTGATCTTCTAAATGAGGTTTTCCTGCTGCCACTGGTGCTACAGTTCTCCCACAAAAACTGTGATTATTAAGAGAAGTCAAACAGGAGTGTGTGAGAGGAACATGATCCTCATCTCTTCTTTTTGTGTGTGTGTGTGTGTGTGTGTGTGTGTGTGTGTTTGCAGGACAAGAAGAAGGTGGCGTGTCGATACGATTGGCACCAGACGGGAAACAATGTTGTCGTAACGATTTACGCCAAGAACGCAAACCCACAACTTTCCAGCATAGAGGCCAACCGGACAGTGGTGAGTGGTTCACACACACACACACACGTTCACACACACACACACACGCGCATTGGTAAACTCTCTATTAAACGTCAGTGGTGGAAAGTAACTAAGTATATTTACTCAAGTATTGTCCTTCAGTTCTAATTGGAAGTTTACGTCACTTGAGTACCTCCACTTTCTGCTACTTTCTATCTACTTTCACTTTTTCAATTCAGAGGTAAATATTGTGCTTTTTACTATATTAAAAAAACATGTATATACTTGTATTTATTTCGTCTGCTTTAAAATCAGCAATGCACATATTTATGCATTAAATAATAATAGATTCACCTTGTTCTTCTTGCTTATTCTCGATGTTTTATTCTCTTTAGCTCTCATGTCAAATACAGTTCGAGAACGAGAAGATTTTCAAGAGAGACTTCCACTTCTGGGGCGTGAGTATCTGCTGATTACGTCTGAATACGTCTGCCAGCGGGGCGAGGTTAGCTCTCCCGTTGCTTATACAATAATATATGTTTTTATGTGTGCAGTTATCTGATCCCACTGACAGACGTTGTGAAGGCTGGATATGAAGCAACATTTCCTCTTTCACATAAAACACTTGCCTTTGATTTTTCTTGCCTTCAGGTGGTCGATGTGAAGCAGAGCTCGGTGAACATGGTCCCATCCAAAGTGGAGATCACCCTCCACAAGGCCGACCAGGTGGCCTGGGGCAAACTGGAGGACCCCAACTACAAGCCCGAGCCCGAGCCCGTGGAGGACTCCTTCACCGAAACCACAGAGTCTCAAGAGACCGACTACGACATCGACGACGACGACATCAGCGACTCGGACGAGGAGTGGGCCTACGACACGCGGCAGAACAAACCGCAGGAGGATAAGGAGAGGGACGAGCAGAAGAAGAAGGAGGAAGAAACGGAAATCTTTAAGACGAAGGAGGTGGAGGAGGAGATGAAGAAGGCGTTGGAGGAGAAGAAGAGGGCGGAGGAGGAGAAAAGCAAGCTGAAGGAGGAGGCAGGAGGAGCATATGAAGACATGCCAGAGCTCGAGTAACGCCTCGAGGTGAAGATTGATATATTTTGTGTAAGCGAGGTGGAAGAAACTTCTTTTTGTAATGATTATTTCTGAAATAATTTCTCTTTTGTAGCTACAAATGCAAATGAAAGGTGGCACTTTGCAGCCGCGTTCCAACTTTGAAGGGGAAATTTAAAAAGGGTTGTTTGTCTTCTAGGAAAAAGTGACAAACGCACTCTGTATCCTTATGTCATTTCATTAGGATAGTGGGTTCTGTCCTCTTAAAATGTGGGTATTCTCGACTGGATGCAACTTCAATACAAGAAATAAAAACTTTGTGTACATTTTTCTATGTGTAAATGTCTTTTTTATGTTGAAGTACACATATACATACATACGTACGTATATGGTGATAATTCTGTCTTTTCAAAAACAATTGTACGAGGCACAGTAAAGGAAGCAACAGGGCGACGAAAAAAGTCATAGTATAGCATGTCGAAAACAGAATTTACGAGTGAAATTTCATAGGTTGTATAGGTAATCTGTTTCTATATCTAAATTTCTGTCTTTCTAAAAGTTCGGCAGAGTCAACAGATAAATTGTTGGATCAATAACATCAACCAAGTCCCTGCCATTTAAGCAGAAACATCTAAATTAGTGTTTCATTTAAGTCTATTGAGTCACTTGAGCATCCGTTGATGTTATAAGCTGCCACTCTAAACAAAAGTTGGCCTTCAGTTTATGAGTCATACTGAAATTGTATTTCCACTCATGTTTTTCATTAATATCAGCAATTATGCGTGTTGCTCTTCTACATTTGTCTGATAGATGAAGTAGATTAGTTGTTCACGTCTTTCCTGTCCAGTTTAAACTGTGTACCTCCAGTTGTGTGTGTGAATATATTTGATGAATTGAAGGATGAAGTGTTCCTACTTCTTAAACTAAACGATTTAAAAACCCTCATGGAAAGATATGATTTCATAGATTGTTGTAAATGACCCAAGAGTATATAAAGGACATAACATGCTTTCTCAGCCATAACTTTACTCTCACTCTTAATTACTATGCGTATACAGTCTAGACTGTTTATAGTTACTGTATACTAGATGTTAAACTGAAGAGTGTTGTGACTGTACCTTTTATAAAGTTAAATAATCAACACATTAACAACAAAGAACACCACCGTCACACTTCAATAATTCATTTAATCTCCAAAGGGTTGCGCTGGCTTTGTCTTTGTTACACACTGCACACGATAACACAATAAAACACCTCGCAACGTACATGGTCGTGCAACATCAAGTCTGGCTTCCAGCATGGCGCACACGGTCTCAATAGATCAATATGTAGGCAGTTCAGGTCAGGGGGGGGGGGTGCGTTCACAACTCTATGGAATACTGTTGCACAAACGAGGTGGGGTGTTCGTAATCTGTGGGTTCATTTCAGATCCATGGAACTCCCCGGAAGAGTTTCAGTCAAAAATGTCTTTTTGCTGCATGAAGAAAAAAAAATGACACGTGTAAAAAATGAACAGAAAAAAAACAGACTCCTCGGTTAAAAGACCATGAAACAGTGAAACAGACAACTATGGCTTCCACAAATGTATATTCCCCGAACTTAACACATCGTTGAGTTTGTTTTCAGCACAACAAATGCTCATTAAAGCATAAAGTAGACTCTCTCAATAGATCATCTTAATAGAATTTATAAATTATTCACAAAAAGTTCACCCAAATGTTTAAATATGACATCTCTTGTTTATGTAAACGGTTCATTAGTAGTCTGCAACACTAGAGAACTGAAATAACCTTAACAACGTGTTCGGAGTACCATGTCGGTACCGATTGGTGCATTGTTAGAAAGACGTTGCTGTGGCAGTGGAATGACGTGATCACATGAAACATGAGATCTCAAGCTGCTGTGGGAGTAATCGTACAACCACATCTCTATATAATTATCATTCTTTTACATTTGGTTAGATATTACATTTTATCTACACTTTTTGTCTGCATACATTTATCATAAATAAAAGATTTTTATCAATAAAAAAAACACTTGTAAACACTCAAAATCTTAAACACACATACGCACCCATGCACACAAATGTCTTTTTTTAAGTTTGCTTCTTTGTAAAGTGCAAGGCAAGATACAGTAAACTTTGAAATGTGTGACATACAACAACTTTCGCGTCTGAAGCTGTCTCACACACACACGCACACACACACGCACACACACCTTGTATGTCTCATAACCCACTGAACTCAGTACAAACTTGGCACAACACTACTAAAGCCTCTAAGATGTAGAGCATATAGCCGGCACACTATGGATACAGTAGCACACTCCTACCAGAGCTGAACATCTACGACGCCTCACAGGAACTCTGCCCTATCAATACTTAGTTCATGAACGCGTTAACGGCTGAGAACTAACCCTTTACATGAACGGAGGGAAAAGCACAGAATGTGTCCTTTAGCAGACTGCAGCCTCGTTTGTGGAGATCCAAGTTAAAGCTTGAAAAACGTAACTTTCTTTGTCTCGATGTGATGAGTTCAAGTGTCTTAACGATAATGTTTCGTCCTTTTTTATTATAGTGGTGGAGTTGCATCAGGATGAATCAACTTTTGGCAAGTTGCATGAAAATAAATACTTTGTTTGTTAACACCTGTAGCTCGTCTCTGACTCGTGAACGGTTTCTCTTAATTACATCGTGGAAATGCAACCTCTCTAGTGATACAGAAGAACGACTACTACGATTTTTACTTTTGAAAGAGTCCAGTTCTGGTTTAGTTTTTTAAGCTCGGCAGGTCGAGGAGTCTCTTTACCGACTGCACAGAGGTGCAACGAGTAGAAATCTTTTTCTCCATCATTTGGTTACACAGTGAATAAGCAAATTTCCCCAAAATGTCTGACCGTTCCTTTAAAGAACATCACTGTAAAACCTGAATAGTAGTCGCCTCTAGAACTCGTAAACGCCAATATTTTTAGCCATTTCCGAACAGCAGCAGATGAAGTTAACTTCACACACTGGAGATATATGAAATCTTAGTTTTTGTTATAACCTGGTTTTACCACCATAAGCGCTCTTGCAGTAAAAACCCACAAATGCTGCCGGTCGGTCGGCACAAACGAGCTAAATTGACTATTTTGAGGCGACGCCCAGCCGACACAGTGAGGCTGAGAATGCATGCGGGGACACAACGGACAGCATCGGTTGGCTTGGACTGTATGCACAGTGGCAGAGGAGCTCGTCAAAGCCAGGACAGCTTCACAGATTAGCATTGGGAAAATAAGATATACAAAAAAATATAATATACATTTGTAATAATAATAAAAGCTTTTAACCACAGACAAGGCAAAATCAAATATGCACCGACTCGTACTCTTATGTTACATATACAATCAGGAGTATGGCAAAGTAGGAGTAGGATACCAAGTAGCTGCAATGTCGTGTTAATGTGTGTTTGATGCTTCCTCCTTCTGTAAACATCTTCACAACACAACACAACGCATCGAGTCAGTTCATCTGGTGCCGTTCCTGAAACCAGTGTGCGGACTTCTCTCCGACTCCCACACGAGTCACATGTTAGACCTTATAAATAACAACGCGCTGTACCGTACTTTAAAATCACAACAATCCTTTTGTGAGGCCGAGTTCCAGATGAAGTGACTCGTCATAAAGCGTCGGATCACACAGACAACAGCCCATTAAGAACCACTTTAGAACCACGACAGCAGAACCTTTGTGAAACCGTATATGATTCAACATTATTCACAGGTTAATACAAGTCCACACGAGTACATTCTTCAGTACGAGTTGTTTGTTTTTTTTGCAACATTTAAGATATTCCTCAGTTCAGTCGAGGATAAGGTCGAGATGTTTCACTTTGTTCATTTTGTTGCCACTTCAGTTCTCATGGCAGCAGCAAGAAGAAATAAATACTCAAAGTCTGAAGGCTGTTCGTAAGTTAGAGAGAAAAGAATTCAAACATTGTAACAACTTATAATAGATATAAAATAAGATGACTGCACTCGACATGCAAGGAGAGCACCACAGAAACACATTTCTATGTCAACAAAAAGAAACGTCTGCGAGAACCCTTTTGTTCCACGCCTCCCTTGTCCTCTGTCGGCCACGGCAGCTTCCAAACTCAAGCAGGCAAACGGAACCAAGAGCAGGACGCCGATGGTGAAGCGATGCAAAGCCACGCCCCCCTCAGAAAACACAAAAGAAGAAATAGAAGAAAGAAGAATCCTCCCTGCACAATGGAGGATAAAGAAGCAGGGAGGACGTAGCATAAACGTTGGGAAGATGGTTCTCCTCTTCTTCCTCACACCTCTGTCAGGCCACTAGGTATTGCGGTTAGAGGGGAGGAGAACAGGAGGGGTGCTCCTCACCCCTGGTGGAGAGGGGGGGGGGGGGGGGGGGGGGGAGTTTTAGCGCCCTCTTGGACGTCTTTCGCCCGAGGAATCTGCCTCACCAGCCCCTCCTTTGATTTCCCAATTTCCTGCATGAGAGAAAGACAAATTAAATTAAAATGACAATTTCTGGACCTCTCGGTTTGTTTACAATAAATAAATAAATAAATAAATAAATGACCATAATGCCCCAAAATAAGACGATGGAGATGCTGCAAATGTGCTTTATTTAAGTTGTTTAGCTTTAGATTATAGGGATACGGTTTGGCAGCGGACGTTCCCAGAGATCGATTAATGTCCGATTACTTTTCTATGGATGGCAGAGGAGTGACGTAAAGACCTGTCAATCACAGTAAGGCCCGCCCTAAAGCATCCCCTGCTTTATGGTCTGTGTGACTCTAAATAGACCATAATGTACTAAATGAACATCATGCTGTATTGAAGAAGACTTGAAACTAGAGATTGAGACCATAAACTCATGTTTACAATGTTTACTGAGGTAATAAATCAAGAGAGAAGTAGAGTCATTTTCTCATAGACTTCTATACAACCAGAGGAGTCGCCCCCTGGTGGACACTAGAGAGAATGCAAAGTTAAGACTCTTCTCTCGGCAGAATCGGAGCTTGCCGCCTAATTGCCGAACACAATGAGGAGAGAGACAGCTATCATAATAAGTAGTGTGCTCTAAATAGTTTATTCTTCTAAACAGAAGGAACTAATATAGTTTTGCATATGTGATGTGGTGGGTGGGACTGGGGCTCTGTTACCTGAGAGAGAGCTGTTAGACTTCTGCTTGTGGAGCTTCTCTCTCTCCTTCACCTTGGGTATGATCTTCAGCTTTATGCTGCTCTTACTGTTGACCCTCACCGAGTCCTACAGAAAGAAGAACACATGAAAATGCAATAAAGAGATATTCTACGTTTTCAGACGAGCTGTGAGAACGGACAGCTGTGCTGCGACGAGTTAGGAATGACACTGTGGCTGTTTGTTAGACAGACTGTGACGACACAACGGATGATTTTTGCGATCCCCCCTCACCTCCTCGGAGCACTGCATGAGCGGACAGATCCAGTGGATGTCGTCCAGCTTGTGGAGCTCGGCGCTGAGGCTGTTCAGGGTCGTCCGAAGTGCCGCCTCCTCCGGAGAGTCCGACTGTGGAGGACGAGGAGGAAACTAAATAATCCATTTCTACTCATGAGCGTGGTACCCAGCGTTCACACTTCAGAGATGACCTTCTCTAGTTACGTTTGCTCTGCTGCACAAAGGTTTATTGCGAGCGATGATAAGTTTCCTTCACAAGGTAAATAAAGCTTCAGCAAACAAACTGAGCAAAGACAACAGACGGTATAAAGTGAAATGTGAGATGGAAACGGCTTTCAGGCAGAGACGGAGAGGAAGAGAACAGAAGAGTGGAACAAAGACAACACAGAGAGACGCCGTGCATGAAAGTGAACAACTGTACCAGTAGTTTTCCATCAAGCAGCATCCTGGTCTCGGCCTGGAGGACTTTACTGCTGTTGACGATCTCCACGGCCGTGCTGCGACTCAGACACTGAAAACACAAACGAATCACTTCAGATTGAGCTTATTCTTCTATTTTATCTGCATCTTCTCACAAACACAAAGTCATTTGTTTTTTTTAAGTCTGCTTTTACTTTATGTGATTTTATATTAACTAAATATTTGTCTTTCATTACAGACGAACCGGTTCGTCTGTTTGCTCGTACAGAACAAAGCTGCCGACCGATCCCCCGACACGCGACTCTGTTTGTTTACTTATAATCATAGTATTATGTCTGTCTTTTTAATTTAACGTTGAACAACGTGGGCCTCTCTTAATACCTCAGGGGTGGACAGTTTGGCCTCCGTGAGCACCAGGGCGGTGGCGTTGACGGCGTGGGCCAGTTCTTGCTCCACCAGCTTGTGGGTCTTGGCTGCCTCGCGGATCCTGAGGGAAGAACCAGACGGTGGGAATCACAGACTTCAAAGAGCTGCAATTATTATCTCAACGAGCTGAAGAGGCTCAATTATAGTGATTATTCCAACAAGCCGTCTCCGCCTGTTGATGGGACAGGAGCTCGGTTTCTGTAGCTCTGTAAATAAAATGGACTCGACTCTCTCCCCCCATCTCAGTTCTATTTGTAGATGTTTGGATTCAAAAGTTTTAAATCACAAAACTTTAAGATGAATCACATCTGTGTCCGTTTGATGAAAGTCTGTCAGCACTTCCTGTATCGGTCTCCATCTGCCGTCCAAACATCTCCACTCGGACCCTCAAACATTTACGTGCACGCCCTTTATTGTGCTCCTCACATTTTCCATTTCAAATCTCTTGTTATGACTGTATCTCAGCTTCGGAGACAAGTTAGCAAATGTAATTAAAATATGAATCATCCTGAAAGGGGAATTTATTTTTGCAAATATAATCGAGAAGATGATAATAAATCGGACAAACTGAGACGTACTGAGAAGACCCCCGAGGGAACCAAAAGGTGTATAAGCGTGAAAAAGAGACATGGAATGGCTCATCGGTGCAACGGAGGGAAACAAATGAGCCAGCTGATTGCAGTGGGAGAAACAAATCCCAAAATGTAGAGCACAATTCCCCCCCCCCCCCCCCCCCGACCCTTTTTATCTTCAGAACACAAACACACAGAAGCAGATCATCAAACAGAAAGGTAGCTGATAAGCTTGCTTTGATGTGTGTCAAATAGTGTCATTATGTTTGTTTATTTGCAATTTGCATAAAGTAATGAACTCGTAAAGTTGGAGAAGCTTCTGTGATGGTATAACTTCTGGTGGTGTTGTTAATAATGTCCATCGTCAACGAGGTCTCTGCATCTTTGAAACAGGTTCAATCAGAGAACGGCAAAACGCGCACCGAAAAAAACACACACAAAATGAGAATATATTATAGTTATACAGTTAAATCCAGCGCAGATAAGTGGGGCTTTTAACCTGCGTCTTACTTGTTGATGAGTGTGTCGGCCACGATGCCCAGCTGCTGAACCTGCGCGCACTCCTCCTCCGTCAGGTACTCCATGGACTGCTGGGAGTTAAGGCGGGGTCTGCTGTCGCGGTAGCTGTCGAACTTCCTCTTGTCCTCCCACGACTTCAGCGTGCTCTCGAACGCCTGGAACAAACAAGTCACTTGTGTTCCTTTTCAACACTGAGAACAATATTTTGTTTCAGGACTGCATTTCGCAAGACCATTTAAGTGCCGACGTTTCAGCCAAAAACAGACTCTACTAAAAAGTTTCCCTCCCGTTAACTGAACTCTGACTACCTGTGCCTCAGCCAGACCAATTTCTAAAAGATAGTCCTTGAAAAATGTGAAAACACCATCGAATTCAAGATCTGAATGAAGACAAAGGAATAAGCAGAAGAGGTTCCAGTAAACAGGTAATCTCTCGTCTGTGCTGAGATACAAGCAAAACATATTTTTAACTGTAAATTTTAGGAAACTGAGGGAGAAAAAAAAAAGAATAGTAGTTGATATTTGAGTGGGACATTACTCTGTCTCTGGTGAGCATCTGTGCTCGGTTCTTGTGGACGATCTTGACGATGCCGGGCGGCTGGATCCAGGCCTCTCCGTCCACCTGCACAGGAACCCCCTCCTCCCCGAGGATGGTGATCTTCACCTGGCGGCACTGAGACGCAACAGAGCACAAAACGGCAGCCGTCAGACGAGACCTCATACAGCCGATTATTACCAGCGGCCCTGTGCTCGACCTCCTCTGTCCTCATGTCATGGGATCCTGTAGAACCTGCACATGGATAGCACCAATCTACACATGGAGAACTTGGCCAAAGACACCTTGTGACTGAAAGGGAAAGCAGCGTCTCTCATTCACTTCAGGTTCAGGAGATTAAAACAAACAGCAGTACGTGCAAATATATTCTTCTGCAAAGAAATCTGTGGGAGACGGCTGCTAACCGCTCAACACCTGACACGAGGTTGTTTGTTGATCTAAGAATTGAAGTGCTTTGATTTAGTGTTGAAGTTGAATCACTCTAACAAGATGAAGGCTCTGATCAGACACACGCATGTCAGCAGCCTGGGGCGGCTGAAGAGTGAAGAGTCTTTGATGAAATCTCCGTGAGGAAGCTAAATGAGAATATCCGCATGCTGCCGATGACAATCAAGCATGGTTCTTATTGCCTATGTTTGATGTGTTAGCATGCTAACATTAGCACTGAACACAAAGTACAGGTGACGCCGACAGGAGTGTTATTAGTTTAGCAGGAATTTGGTCATTAACCAAAGTATCGGCCAAGGAGACGTCATGTTTTCATTCTAATGGTTGTTGCGTAACTGTGCTAATAGAGGTGTGTCTACTACATGCAGGGATGGAGGTTACCTGTGCGATGCGGTGGTGCTGCAGGTTGATGACTCTGGACATGGCCATCTGCATGCTGCCGAACACCGCCACCACCTCCAACTTCTTATCATCAAATGACGGAGCGCCAAAGTTCTGAACACAAGAGTCGAGAGTGAACAACATCCGGTAACTTTTCAAATCTGTTTGATGTCGCTGAGCTTTCTTTGAGGTGTAGATGAGCGCTACGCTACATCTCTCACAACACTCACGTTGTCCTCCTTGGTGCCTCCCCAGAAGTTGATCCCGCCTGCATAGCTGGGGATGTTGAGCACAGCCAAGCCCTGCAGGCTGGGCAGAGACATGGGAACACCGTCACACTGAACAGAGAGAGAGAGAGAGTACTGGAGGTTAATAAAAGAGAGAATACACACAAAATGATGGCATTTCATTTCCCCTAAATATTCCCCATTCAGACCTCCAGCTGAACTCTCTGCTCCAGGTTCTTGTAGGTCTTCTGGACCAGCTCTTTCGTCCCCAGCACTCCGTACCACATCATGTTCTTGGTACGACTGCTGCAGAAAGAAGAAACCAATCAACGCTATGGAAGTCAACGTCAGTGACCAGAGAACGGTATCAATGAGGTTGAGCTGAATCGCTGTAGCTGGTGAAGGATACTGGGAGTAGTTTTCATCATTCTGTGTTGACATTTCTCTTTAAACTATGTCCTCAACGTTACCAAGCATAGAAACACAGGACTCTCCCACATCATGTCAAAATGAGGTTTATGACACGGTGGCGGACGCTTTACTTAATACAAACACCCGAGATCCTCGGCTGCGTTTGTCACGGGGAAGAAGCGGGTCAGAGACGCTTTGTCGCAGCATTTATGAACAAAAATCAGCAATATAGATGTCGAGAGAAGTCAAGCAACTGACCAAATGTGAAGTGATTTAAGCACCGAAGATTTGACTTTCTATATATGCAGATGATTTGCTGCTGTATGTATCTGACGACCCTGTCACATGTATAACTAGTATTATTGAGAATGTCATGGAATAATATGTTATATATAAGTATATATAAAAGAGCTGTTACTAACTGATTAACATCCACGACACAATCTTGTAAAACTCTTTACTTTAACTTTTGATGAGTTTCCAGCGAAGAAGAGTTAAAGTATTCTCTAAATATTTGTGTGATGAATAAACACTAAGCAGGACAGTTGGAACAGTTGCAACATACAATTTGTTGTTGGTAAACAAATAAAATTATGTTTTTGTGTGTGTGTGTGTGTGTGTGTGTGTGTTCATACCTGCATTTCTTAGGGTTCTCATCTCTCTTGTTGTTGAACTCGAGGGAGATCTTGGCGTCCAGGCCGATGCCGAAGTAGTTGTTCATCACACACTTCTCTGAACATTGTCTGCAAATACAGAACATATCTACATTGTTTCCCTAAAACGTGACAACACATTAATACATCTTATCAACCCGTAGCTAGTGTGTGAAGGACACGGATGTGAATGCAAACCGACGAGTGCACACAAAGACTTACACAGAGTCCTCGCTGAAGGTGACCGTGTGGAGGCTCTCTGGCTTCTCCAGGACAATAGGGGAGGTGGGACTTAAGCTTCCTTGACCTGCACAGAAGAATAAATGTTCTGCAAAGTTTCTTTAGACAAAATAACAGTGACATTGCACAAATGATGTGTTATCCTTGACGAAATCAGGGGTCATCAAACCTTTTCCGACAAAATTCAGTAGTGCGAGTCTTTAAAATGTACAAAGCAGCATTTCGGGGTGCGTCCCTTCACCTCGCGTCCCTGCTGAGATCAAACTAAAGGGACACTCACGTGGCTCGGCATCCTTCAGCTCCTCGCTGTTCTCTCTTTTGATGGAGGACGAGGACGACATCCTCTGGACCTGCGTGTGTCGGTTCTGCTCGTCCACCACTGAAAACGACAACATCGGTGAACTCGATACAAAAACCCCCTCGAGGCACGATGGTGCCAAAATAATAGCAAAAGAAGAAGAAAGGAATAGCAGGACGAGGACCAACAACACAATGCTTTCTGGCCTTCCTCTCACCTTTCTCTGCCTGTTCGATGATCTGCCTCAGGGCTTTCTTCAGGCTGTTGGCCCTGAGCATCAGCTGCTCTTTGGACCGGTACGTTTTACCGTCTGAACCCGACTCGCCGACGCTTTCGACGGGGCTCGAGCCGACGCTCTCCTGGCTGGGCACCGAACCCGCTGGCACCACCTGGACGTGACGGGAGAAAGAAGAGGAAACATCCGCTAATGTAGCATCTGTAAAACACATCCTGGTATTTTCCTGTTGATAATAATGATAATGATAATAATGATCCCTGCAGCATTGCCACATTATCACCAAAGCAGCAGTGTTCATTTTCACTATTCCTGCTCTGTGGTGTGACATCCCTCTCTCTTGTTTCTGGCAAATAGAGGCGGGTCAATATTCATTTACAGGCAGAACCGAGGAAGACTTTATTCATCAGAAATGAAACGATGCTTGGTGAAAAGCTAAACTTTCCTTTCCCCTTTTATTGAGCAGGAGGTTGAAATCATCCTGACATTTTGAGGGCTGCGTTATTCCTTTAAGAGCACCGACATCAATCTGTGAACGAAAGTCTCCAAAGGGACACGAGGAGCTGTATGCCGTTCTGTTTGTTAAGCTCCTGTGAGGAAAGTGAAGATGTTAAGATACTGCTTCTCCTGTAAAGGTCGAATCGAGGGGATTTAAACACTCCCTGGTGTTTCAACGGAGGAACACTTTCTAACACCATTCAATATCTCAGACATGATAACAGATGTTCAGTGTCATGGCTGAATATTTATCTGATTTGGATTATTGGACGTGACGCTAGAGAGCGAGACTCATAACAACACAGTGACCGGATCAAGTGAAAGGTAAAGAAACAAGAAATATATCCTTAAACAAGCAGCTTTTGAGTTATTGGTCACACTTTTTGTTACTGTTCAAATCTAATTTTGCTGCACGCTTTTGCTTGATATGAAGTATTACGGTATTTGACAGTGACACTGATTTCTAATCATGTTAATCAGAATTGTTTTTTTTTTTTTTTTTTACCTGAGCCTCCGCTTCTTCACTCAAGGCCTTGACCAGAGAATCGAGCTTCTCGTTCAGCAAAGAACACTGAAAGAAAGAGACAGACGGGTCATTCAGATCATGTTACTGTGTGTGTGGCTCCCCAGCTCACTCCACTCTGATGAGGAGAGTACATGTGGACTTTAAGTGCACATCATCGACAGGCAGGCGTTTCTAAATGATCATTTTTGTGCAGCTGCAGTAACACTCCAAAGCGGCGTGAGATCAATAACCTAAACAGCCCATTGAGGTCTTTCATAATTCATTTTTCCTCCAGACATCAATAAAGCCTCACATTACTTGGAATAAGTGGGATAAGTGGGACGGAGCTGTGACAGAAGAGGTTTGGGGAAAGCTTGAGGTGCTCTGCTGGGTGACAAGATGTTCTCTTCTCAGATGTGAGCCTCAATAACTTCCTCTCAGCACGATATTTACATTTCATTTTCTTTCCTCTGAATGGCTTTAAGGTTGGTAAAATAATCATCTCCAACAGTAACACACAGAATATATTCTGTATCGGCGTGTTCCATAAACTACATGCTGTTTATACTGAGTGTATATATATATATATATATATATATAAAAAAAAAAAAAAGGTATTTGGTGACTTAAACCCAATTTTTCCAGCCTCAACTGCTCTTTCAACTTGATTCTTAAAAAGTGCCAAAAATATTAATTAGATACAAATGGGAGGGAATAGTGGCACCTAACCTTTACACAACTATCTCGGTCACACTCTCTGTTTCTCTCACACACACACACACACACACACACACACACACACACACACACACACACACACACACACACACACACACAGCTCACTAGCGTTACACAAGCTCTTGCATAATACAAACGATTACACACACATTTACCTTCTTTGCCATGGCGTCGGCCTCCTCCTTGTTCTCTGTGGCTCTCTCGTACGCCTTCCCGACCTCCGCCACGAAGTCATTCACCGTCCCACACAGGAACCTGATGGGGGGGGGGGGGGTCGACATGATTAATGTTGAAAATTAAAGGAGTCAGCATGTTGACTCGTTTCAGATTTAGGTGAGTCACCGTGCAGTCACTGTGTTTGGAGATCTCACACACACACACACACACACACACACACACGCACGCACGCACACGCATGCACACAGAGTGACGGGCGCTCTCGTTTCATCACCTGCCCGTCGGCTGCGTCGCCTTCACGCAGTCACTATTTACTCACAGCTGTTACGTTGCTGCCGCATGACTCAGCGGGGAGGTTTCTCCAAACTCGCACAGCGATCAGCAAATATTGGATCATGTCAAATGAAAACACGCTCCTCATTTTACGAGCCTCGTCCTCCCGTGAACGCTCTCGCAGGCTAGTTTATTTTTTCTAAATTAGATATCTGTAAATGAAATATGCATGATATTGCACACTGCTTTAAGAAGTTTATGGAGGTTTTTGGAAGGCGTGTGCTCAGTGTGTCTGCTGAATACTGTGCAACTCTGCTTAAAATGTCTTCATTTCTTTTGGAAGTGTCGCTGAATGGATCTCCTGAACATTGTGCAGTCCTTGTCTGCGTCTCAAAACACAAATAATAACAGGATATGTCTTCATAAGCTGAAGCTTATGAAGCTTAATACAGCTTTTAAACCTGTCGTTAAGCAGAAAGCGTTCCTCTCTAACCTTTAATATAATCAGGCCAGATGTTGGTTTCTAATGTGTGCAGCACAACAGAGGTGTTGCTTCTTAAAGTCAATGACAAAGCAGGGTTATCATTAAACTCTTACACCTGTGTGAGAGAGCGTTGTTCTTCGTATCGATCGCACTTATTCGTCTTTAATCTCCACTTTGACCCCATTACCTCAGGAACAAATCACTGCTAACGGTTAACGGGAGCCATTAGAGCCCGACAGCAGGCCCACTTTACTGAATGTCTCTGTGCTGCCAAAACAACAGCAGCAAACTGCATAATAACAAGTCACAGCCCCATGCATGAATAAACTCCACTGAGCTTGCTGATCCCAAATGGAATCCCATCTCGACTCTTGGTTAATTCAAACCTGTTAAAATTCCACAGTAAGACATTTTAAAGCAGGAATGACGGCATTTTACTTTGTCCGACAACACCGGCGTCGTGCTTTTTAACGTGCTGCAGGTCTCCACTACATAGACACACGGGGAGCGCTGGAGAAAAGTGCTCTGTAACGGCCGCCAGACTATTCCCGAGGGAAGACTTCTAATGTCCTAATGCACTGAGGATGAGCCCTAAATACTGATTTGTCTCTTTCACTTACTGTCCCCTCTGTGTGTGTGTGTGTGTGTGTGTGTGTGTGTCCTTAGGGAGCAAGAAAATCAATACTCATTGACCAGACGCTCACTTTTTGTCTGGCTCTTTCTGTCATTATCTCTCTTCTCTATTTTCTATCATCCTGCCCTCTTTATCTCGTCTTCCCATCCTTCTTTCTCCCCCTTCTACTTTCCCCCCTCCTCCAAGGCGTCACAAGGTATTCACAGCACGTACTTGGCAGAGGAAATGACGTCGCTGTGTTTGTCCGAGTCCAGGATCTTGGCGAGGTGGGAGGCAACGGAGTCTGCATACTGAGTGATGTGGACCTGGGGGGGAGGGAGAGAGAGAGGGAGGGGGAGGGAGAGAGAGAGAGACAGAGACAGAGAGAGAGACAGAGAGAGAGAGAGAGAGAGAGAACTGGTTTAAATGAAGACTTGGATTTTACTGTACGAGTTGTGTGAGAGTTTGTTAACAGATGTTTTTTAAGTTTTCCTTAAGAGTTCAAGGTAACGCTGGTGAGGAATGTCTTCCTTTAGGTACCAAAAACAAAATGAAATGTGATTCTTCACATCAGCTGTTCACTAACTTTTTTGCTCTGTGACTGTTGGAATTAAAGCATCAACTTCTCTGGACCCGTCGTCACATGTTGCACACGTTACTCAGATGTGAGGAATTCCACTTGAGACCATTAAAGCTTTACTTCTCAGAATACTTTGTTTTGATCTCTGTTAGAGGCCTGAAGAGGTCAACGTAACCAACAGATCTATTTAAAGTGTGCAGCAGACAAGTGTTCAACTGTAAATCATCCTGAAATACCTCAGGTTGATTTTCTGGAACTGTATTGCAGAATATTAAGAGGAAAAACAAGTGTGTGGTGTCAAGACTTAAACATCAAAGGAGTGATATTATTTAATCCTGAGGTTGTCTAGATAGAACATATATTTTACTGGTATAGTGGTGTTTATGTATTCAGGTAGTTTCTATCCTGTTTATGTGCAAAATAAAAGTGTTTTTCCTTATTTTCCTTTTGCTTAAATTCAAAATACAGAGCTGCCGTTTGTCAATATCTACGCCACCGCCGGTGGATTAGCTCTGATTGCTTCGCCTGCCAGCTGCCAGACTCAATTGATTCTCAGTGGATGTTTTCAAAAATAATTTCAGGGAGCTGGCGAGGATCTGGCTGCGTGGGTCTAATTTATGGACACCATCTGTCTAAAAAGCAGGCAGCTTTTCTGAAAGCAATTTACCTGCAGAGGACAATCGAGGCTGTCGTCTTCTTTCACGAGCGGCGTGCGTTTGGTGGTGGTGGGCACCTCGTACGTCATCACACTCCATCTAAAAGAGACACACGGGGAGGTCAAGAACAAGATAATGAACTTTATTATCATCTAATCTGATCAATTCAGGAGGACAGGACACAGGGAATCCAACACGCCGCCTTTATGTGAATGTACTGCCGATAAAAACGTGGAAGAAGTGGAAGGACTATTTGTCGGCAGGGAGCAGTGACTACCTTGTTCTCTGCCAAAGATTGTTTATGAGGTAAAAGAAGCATCACTCTGAAACATCTCTGAACAAGTGTTGCATTCTGGCAGATAAAACTTTCCTTCACATCAATAACTTTAACGTTTTAAATGGGGACCTTCAGTAACAAATAGCTTGTGAAAAATAAGGTGGCAGGTTGCAGCTGTTACTTAAATGTGCCAGATACATATTTAGTCAACATTTAATTATTTACAAGTATCAGATTTAACTTAAAAGGAGTCGTATAATGATTGGGGCCATAAAAACGTCACTGGGACGTCCCTGATATATGCTATGTGTAATTCTTGGTTGATTTATAAGTTTGTTTTCAACCATCAGAAGCCAATAATGCACTAATGCTGCTTCATGTTCAACATTGAGGCATGATAAGTATTTCTTAAATGGTGTCTATGAATGTTTGCCAGAGGTATAAATAGCGATACATAGCCTGCAGTACTTTCAGCTAATTATCTTTATTGCTGTGACAAATTCTTGCTCCTGTCTCCTGCCCTTGAGAGCCTGTTCAGTTATGGAGAGACTGTAGCTTAAAGCAATTCAGTCCTTGGCTCACCTGAAAAATGACAGCAAAGCCCTCCAAGGAAAACAAAAGAAACACGGATGTGCAAACTCGGTTAGACACACTGCACCTGGCTGAGAAGACGCAGTGTTAACCAGGTTTTCACCAGACCCCCCTCTGGTCTTACCGGTCCAGCATCTTGGTGGTGGCTCTCTCCAGCTTCTCCAGGATCTGCAGCAGCTGAGCGTCGTCGTCACAGAGGCCTCCCCAGCCCAGAACACGAGCCAGGTCGTTGCCCGTGCCCAGAGGCAGAACGCCCAGCTGGCACTGTAACGTAAGACAACATGTCATCTGCAAACAAGTTGATTAAATCCAAACTTTGATCAAAGTCAGCACAAGACAAATGATTTACGTCTATTTAAGTCAGACGCTACGGATGTGTCCGCACAGATGCACTTCATGTGTTGATTATCAACCCTCTTTTAATCTGAATTAAACATTTTACAGTGTAACCAAACATTGTTCGGCTTGGTAAACATGAGCACACTTGAGTCCATACACTGATATTTAGGGACGTGAATCTAAGTTTTCTACTACAGTTACAAGTGAAGACAACGGCAGACATGCATGAAAGTGATACAAAGACAAATACAAAAGCTTAGTTAGAGAAGGAATTGAAGCTTTAGGTTCACTTACAAAAACATTGTGATATTTGTAATTTATCACTTTTGTCAAAATCTTACCAATCAGTGAAATGGAATCACTATACAGTCCTGGACGGAGACAATTACAAACTAACATGTTACAAATAAAGATTATTGTCAGATGATGATTGTAGAACCATCACACTGACTGACCCGTCAACATTTCATTTGACATGACCTGGAAGTATTCTAACTGATTTGACATGGCATTTATGTGTCCACTAATCCACTCATTTAAAATAATAACCATGTCATCCGACACTTCCTTCATTCATTTGGATTAATTCCGTGACGTCAGCTAATTAGTTGAGCTAATCAGTGTATCATTGGGAATTTTACCGATCGCCACCCTCCTCTCCCCTGTCCTTCCTGACACTCTGTATTTATTGAGTCCTTTTTATATGTATTTTCTAATTTTACTTGTTACAAAATGTGACCACAGGTAGAAATTGCACAAGAGGTAGCTTGCTGCTTTCTCTTGCCCTGCAGCATTTTCCACAGTTCCCTTACATATTATATCATCATCCCCTCCTCCTCCTCCTCCTCCTCACCTGTTTATGGAGGTTGAGTTTATCCAGCTCTGAGAGCACCCAGCCCACGCTGCCATCTCCCCCGCACACCAGGATACGAAACGTCACAAACTTCTGGAAAAGGCGCAGGCTGAGGGAGCGAGGAGAGTGGGAGGGGAGGATGAAGAGAGGAAGAGGAGGACGCGAAGCACAAAATGTTAAGCGGTAGATGTCATGAAAAAGGCAGCGAAATTACAGCATCAGTACACGCATTAAACAAGTCGTGAGCAACTAGAAACTCCCACTGGTGAAGCTGTCAACCAGTAACAACAAAGCCTGTTAACAAGTACATGTGAGATATTTCTGCTACATGTGAGCTTATTGTTTCCTTGTTTATTAAAGTACCCGAGCTCTGGTCCTCCATTCATCAGGTCAAAGACTTGAGCCGGGTTGAGGAGCTGCTTGAACTTGCGGAGGAACTTCACCCCCTGGTTGTCTCCGCTTTTGGAGTTGACCAGGACCAGGAGAGGACTGGAGCACGACGCTGAGGTGGCCTTCCAGAAGCCTGAGAGGGAATGAGCGGGAAATGAATAAAACAATAGAGCTGTCCTCGACTGAAGAAATTCTTCAACCAACACTAGTACAATTTTGTCGAATTGATTAGTTGATTTAATCGACAGATCTGTAAAACTGTCATTTGCATTGTCCCGCCCTCTGCATTGAAAGGTGACACCTCTGAACGTTGAACCTGTGTGTGAGTGTGTGTGTGTGTGTGCGTACGAGGTGTCTCACCATCAGAGTCGATGCTGTTAAGTGCAGTGGGAGGGATGATTGACACTCGATATTGACCCAATGGACACACCTTACCCATTTGTTCTTTACAGCTGTTGTGGACCTACACATACGCACACGCACAAACACACACAAACACACACACACATACAGAGTCAGTGGTCTCCATATTAATTCTACATTTCAGTAGAAGCAGAAAGGTCATTCCATCCCTCTGAAACCTGCCAAATGTCAGTCCTGTAACCTTTACAAATGCCACTCTGATCCGCTTGTGCGAGTGCTCGTGCTGAGGATTAGACGTATTAACGTCTGCTCTTTTGCCCGACGCACTCGAGAGCACTTCAGCCTTTGCTAAGTGGAACAGAAGAGACAGAATAAAGTTCCATCTCTGTTACCGGTTGCGTCTTCAAGACAATTTCACTGGACTTTTCTGCTGGATGTTGAAACGAACGCCTTCATTTGAACTCCCTCCAGAGTGAGGAGAACAAGAACAATGCAAAGTTATGGATCACACCTCACTCTGAGTGCACTGAGAGCTTCCTGTGGTTCTAAGACCAAAAAGAAATACACTCTATATATTGGAAACCTTTTCTTCTCCGATCTTTCATTTAGAATGCAGCATCACAACACTGCTTCTGTTATCATGCATAGTCGGTTTGCCATTTAAGAGCTATTGGAAGTCAAAATTTGGGACATAAGAGATAAATATTCTGGCTCATCGCAGACTTTGTTATTCCTCCCACAAGAGAGATAATTATTTGAGACCAACTGGACTGGCGCTGACTCTATTACCATGGACATCAGTGCATTTATGTCACTGTTGATGTGTGTAAAAAACGTTTTAGGGGTAAGATCAAAACTGAAAATAACTCGGGTAGCAACGATGTCCTGTATAAATACTGATCTGACCAGTTTTCTTTAGATAGAAGCCACAATGAATCCCACTTACGATGGCCTTGCACCAGAGGCAGCGCCAGTCCTGCAGCCGCCGCACGCTGCCACAGTTCTTGTCACACACGACACACTTGGCGCTGACCGGCAGGTTGCCTTCCAGCCACTGGTGAGGCATGAACACCTGGGACAAAATATGCAAAGATACAGAGAACATGAGACGTCAGAGTTCCTGAGCCGGGGCTCATTTGGCAGAAATGATTTGCATGAAAAGATCTACGTTAAATCAAAAACATCTGCCTGTTTCTTCCTCTACAGTCACAACAATAGCTTCTGTTGACACGTTGTCTCTCACTGAAAGAGTTGGATCACTCACCCCTTCCTCATCCTCAATGATGTCATTTCCTATGGAGGCCAGTGTGGTCCATTTGCAGTTGTTGGTGGAGCGAACAGCACAGCGCTTATGAGCCTTGAACTTACAAACTGCAGGAGGACAGATCAATAAATGTCACGTTAGAACAAACTTGTAGAAATGGCCGAGACAATTTAGATGTTATTATTTTGTGAGGATCAATAGGAATGTATGAAAAGGATGAGACAAATCACAAACAAATGAATTAGAGCATTTTAATTCATAACAAACTGGGACAAACAAATAAAAATAAAAAATGTCGCAATAATGCGTACTGGTAAGTGACCTTTGATGTATATAAAAACGTGGCATGTTTGTGTTCATAATGTTTCCAAGTATGTCATTACGGTGATGAAACCAGCTTCGCCCTGCAATAAGCAGCTATAAAGAGACTCCTTTACTGCCACTATCGCATGCTCTAAATGCTTCTCTGCAACGATAAGACTCTCAGTAAAGACATCTACGTAAGAGAACGGTAAGAAACTAAAGATTACTGCTCAGAATATCTGGTGTTGGCCTTCAATGTGTCTTCAACTGTGTGTGTGTACCTTCGCAGGAGAGGCCGTGGGAGGTGACGCCTGGCAGAGCCTCCCGGCAGACGTTGCAGAAGGTCGGTCTGGCGTGCGAGCAGGCGTACCAGTTGTGCATCCCGGAGAAATGCTCCATGTTGAACTGGCTGGCCTGAGGAGGGGAGAGGAAAGACATCCACATCAGAACACGTAGCCTGGGGACGCAGAGATACTGCAGGATTTCATGCTGGACTACACGGGCCTGAGGAAGTACGGCTACATGGAAAAGATAATGACATCGGCAGTGCATATTAAACTCTGTGGCCTTGGGATGGAGACACACGAGGGTAGAGACAATGATAACGATGCTGCAGCTGACGGGCAAAAGAGTTCCATACAGGCAGCTATACAGAAACAAATGTAAGACATCAGTGCAGTCAGAACAAACTTCCGATACAAAATCATCTTTTTATCCTTTTTTAGAAAGTCTTCATAACTCTAGAGATATCGAAATGTCGGCTCCCAAATAAGGATGAATTTGGAGAAGATGCTATCTGATGTCACAAACTCGCAGTATGAGACGGGAAAAACACACAAAGTAGGAATATCCGGGTAAATGACAATGACATTAGATTAAATCTCCAAACGCCAGGAACATTGAGAGCCAAACACCTGAGAGGATTTCAGCTGAGCTGGGACAGCAGCTCACAGTCCTCAGCTCTCTTTATAGCCTATTAAAGCACAGGGGCTGATTTTATGAGCCACATTAATCTGCTGGCAAAGAGCTGAAATGAAAAGTACATAAGAGAAACGAGAGGAGGAGGAGGAGGAGGAGGGGGGGAGCGTTTTCCTCCAAGAAAGCAGAAAAGGTGGATACTTTGAGAAGAAGAACAGATGGGAGAAGAATTAAGAAGTGAGTGTGTGACGCCTGTTCTCATCTAAATAGATCACACACCAAGTGTTTATCATCAATTGAGCTCATTTCGATATTGTGTCAGCCTGCTGAATAAACAATGTGCAGGGGGACGCTGACCTCATAGGTTTCCCATTTTTGGACGGATTTGAGAGCGCCGATCCAGTCCTCCATCTCCTTCCTGCTCTCGGCGCACAACATCAGTTTGCGAAATGGAGTGATCACCTGAGGAAGAGAAAGTGTTTCTGCACTTAAATCTATGCAACTCATTTATCCATCTGTCAACATCATGTCACATTGTTGGGATTCTAAAGCCATGCTAGTTTCTCTGTGAAGCTGTGCTGAGCTTGTAGCTCAAAGCATTGCATCGGCATGCTTACATACTCACAATGACAACGCCAACATGCAGGTGTTGAGCAGCTACGCTGAGCACGGCCTGCTGCTGTTAGATTCTGTTTGCGAAGTGCAGCAGAAAATGTGGGAATGGTTTAACCTTTAGCGGCCAATTGCAGCCAGAAAATACCTGCAGCCAGTGAGTGAACCTGTGATCTGTTCAGCTGTGTTACACACTATTTATTCCCCCCTGAAACACATGAACACGCCTCCGCTTGTGTGTGTTTCCTGGGTGATGCTTGAGAATTAGCACTCAACACAAAGTACATCTGAGGCACATGGGAATATAATTAGTTAATTAGTTTAGCAGGAGAAACCATCATTTTAGATCTAATAACGGCGCTAGATTAAATGTCACGGACATATGAAGTTATTAATCTTCCTCCTTAAGGGAAAGATGACCATTAATGGCAACTTATTTCACTCAAAACCACAAATGTGAACCCCGTGGTGGCGGTAGAGGCAAAAGTCAGAGGATCACCAAAGTCAGTAGGGTTCATCCTCAGAGCACCATGAACGTCTGTACCAGATTTCATAGAAATCTGTCGAATAGTTGTTAAGATATTTCAGTCTGGATCAAAGTGGCCGAATGATAATACGACATACTGATGGATTTTAAGCTCAAAAACATTTTGAACACCAAAGTCTATTTTGTCCACATTGTAGAAATGTACAGAGCAGTCCTGTTGCTTACCGTGAAGCTGTTGTTGATGTTCTTGGTGCTGGTCTCGGCCACGCTCGCGTCTGATAGGTCCACTTCATCAAAAATCAGAGACTAATGGGAGGAAAAGACAAACAATAAGCTTTTTCTTCTTTTGTATCTTATCCAGATACTGTACATATAATCACACGCTGACATCTATATATATACATATATATATGTGGAAACAAGAAGTTTATTTTAATTGCGTCAAAAAAGAGGAAGATAACAATTTCCTTGACATATTCATTGAATTCAAAAAGTGTGAACCTCTAAATTTGATTAATAATTGATGTCTTGAACATACAATAAAAGGTAAATGGAAAGTGAATGTATCTAAGAGATCTTGCCTGCAATTCATGTATTTAAACCCAAACAAGCGTGTTAGAAAAACATTTATCTATAGACGGCAATACACATTTTCTGAACAGACGTGCAGATGTGAAATTATTCTCAAAAACTTCCTCTGAAATCCAAGTAATTGGGTAAGAAATGATGGATGTGTAGCAGCTCAGAGACATTGCCGACCTTGCAGTCTTTGGCGTAGTAGAGGGTCCTCCCTCTGAGTTTGAAGTACCTCCTCTTCCATCTCTGGAAGGAGCTGGTCTGCTTTAACAGGATTCCCTCCTTCACGCTTTTCTGTGGCGAGACGGAGCGAGAGAACATAAAAGAGTGGGGGAGGGAGAGAGAGAGAGAGAAGGAAAACAGATGTTAGAGCATCCAGATCCTTCTGAGCACCTCAAGTGACAGCCGTTCTTCACGGAGTTCAGGCGTAGAGCAGAAGGAGATCAGTTTGGATAGTGTCACTAAGATGCCTTGTTTGTTTTGAGAGGTGTTGACTGAATCTGTTAAGATGGGGAACGTTTACTTAAAGGACTATTCCTGCATTGTTTGTTGTGCCGTTTCAAACACCTTCCACCTTCCTCATATTCATGATCAGATGTGGGAAAGTCTACATGTAGTTAATACATAAACCCCCTCCCCAAAAACCAGGAGGTGACGTCCATTATAGGAGCAACAGTGATGGAGTGTTGCAGCAGGTAGGAGGTGCAGTCATGCATGAGAATTATTAACACGGCCATAACGCAATGATTTCATGTTTCTCTCGGCTCATCACGCACTCGTTATTTCTCTCTCTTTCTATTTATGAGTACATGCCCAGAGAGGACAGAATGCACCATGGGTAATCAATTCTGAGATAGGACATCGGGGAGGAGGGGGTGGTGTCACCATGGAGATCCTCATCTCTCCAACAAGAGGATACCGCACACCAGATGCACTCTTAAAGCTCTGATCACGTCACTGATGGCTCCCTTCGTACCGCCGCCGTTTATCAACATTCCTGCACGAGACGCAGCGGCAACTTTAATTTATATCAATTGACAGAAACCGCTCGCATACTTTCACTGCAGAAATGTCGACGTCATCTCTCTAGGGGGGGTTTTCACACATACATCACGATAAAGCTGGAGTGGATTAACTGGAAATGTTTGAGTGGTGACATTACCAGTTCCTTTTATTTGCTTTAGCTCCTTGGTGTGCGGTTGCGAAAAAACATAATCCTGAGAAATGACAAGAAAATGTAAGTAATTTAACCGTTTTCTTGGTTGTTTTGTCATTAACATCGAAAGTGTTAAGGAGCACAAGGGTGAGACTGTTAGTGACGTATGAACAGAGTTTTTGTGACTGAATGAAGTGATGACGGAGTGCTAAAAGGAGCGCGGGGAGAGATGGAGGGAAGGATATTGATTTTGTTATCATCCAAAACAGGAGCAGACTGCTAAAATTGCACCATAATAATAAATAAACAAAGACAGCACAGGCAATGACAAAAGACTGAAAACACAGTATGTTGTTTATCGAATGCGATCAACCAGAGAAAGCTACAAGCTGACAGCATGGACAATAGAAAAGTGTGTGAATTTATGAAAGGAAAAAAGAAAGTAAAAGTGTGTGTGTGAGACAAATCAAAACACACAACGTCATAATGACATCATGCTTTATTCACATCTGGGTTTTATCCAGATGTGACACTTGAAATGAAAAGGGTAAAGGAGGCCTTAGTTGGCGTTGCATTAAAGTTACTCTACTAAAAAAAAAGTTCAAAGCATCGCTGGGTTTCGCCAAATCTAACAAACTAAATGGACCAGAGTGTGTTGAGCACTAGTTTGTTGCTAATCTCAACACCAGAGGACTAAGAAGTGTCAGAAAATGTGTTCAATTTGTAGTTTTGTTGACTAAATCATGAGACTTTTATAATATGAGACTAGCATTTCATCTATTTATTTATTGATTCAATGATACCAAAAACATGTTTATATTCCCCCAAACTACTGTAATGTGTTAGAACATGTTGTTTTGGTCTCAAGTTGGAACCCAAGCATTGTATTAAGATATCAAATAGATAAATACGCAGCCCTATTGCTAGCTAGCAAAGTGGCTAGCACCTTAGCCACATTAGCTAGTTGCTAGCTGGCACAGTGGCTAATGTGAATGTGTTTGTATGGTGCTTAGTTTTTGTTTCTTGTAAATTATCTTGTCTGTTAGCTTGTAAGCTGCGTGGCTAGCATCTCGTACATTACTGTATCTTCAACAGCTGTTAGCTAGCTGGCTAATTGAGCATTTTATCCTACAGTAACTAGCATCAAGGCCAATTATCTTGAATGAGTGGCCTTGCTGTTGTTGCAATTAGAGGTTTCCCCCTCATCTTTATCTTTTCCTCATCTATCTATCTTGTCTCTATGTCGTTTTGTCTTTTAGCCGCATTATTTCCATTTCCGTGTCTTTTTCCCCCTTCTCATCTCTCTTTCCATCTCAATCTGTCTTTCTGATTTTCCCTCCATCATTTCCCGTCTCCCTTTCTCTGCCTGTCTGTCTGTCTTTGCAGTAATGGCCTTGGCTGTCTGAACAGACGGAGTAATACAAGTCAGAAGCACTTCAGAAACCAGTGCTCAAATCTAAACCGTCGCTCCAGCGCTATCATTTCTCAACAGCATCCCTGCGTACCAGTGTCCATGTGATATCCCAGCTTGTAATGACATTACACAGCTCCTTGTGCTCCTGCTGTGCATGTTTCTGTCTTACAATAAATGTGTTTTTGTACCCCGAGGGAGAGAGGAAGAGGAAGGGAAGGACTGATGGTGGAAACCGTGATAGATGGCCCGATGGTACGCATTAGGGAGAGGAGATAGGAAACAGAAACAACGGCGAGGAGCAAAGGAAGAAGGTGCAATGCAGAAATCACAACAACAAAAAAAGGGACTCTGGAAAGTCGACGTAAAAGAGAAAGAAACAAAAGAACGAGGCGATGCCTTGAGCAGGAAAAAATAAGAAAACACACAAACAAGAAAGGTGTAAAGGTCTCTTTTGACTGAAGATATCTTACCTGAGATATAACGGCGAGGTGCAACACCAACCGGGCTTATCCGTGGTTTCCAAAGGAACACCCACACGAGCCGTCAGTCAAGAAGCTAATCAGAGTGGTTTTGTTTGACAAAAGCGGGTAATGACATAGCAACCGCTGATATAAGCTGAAGGACGTACAGTACTGTAAGTTAGACCCAACTCAGGATTTTGCAATGTAGGTGTGAAACTTCGCTAATCCCCAACATCTGGCTAAGCAAGCTCACATTCCTGTGAAAATATCAAATATTGTCTAGGAGGGTAAATTTAGTTTGCATCTGGTGAACAACGCTGAAATCTGGAGTATCGCACAACACCTCCTCTGGGCCATTTCTGTTCCTAATAATTTGCTTTTAATCAAAGTTGCCTGATTGAATAAGATGGAGGCTTCCTTCGGATTAGCTACTGCGGAGACGCATATCAGCAGAGCAAAAAAAAAACAAAAAAAACGCATATACTGTACATATGCCTGCATAAACACAACACATAGTGTATGCAAAAGGTCAGGTTCTGCACCAGCTCGTGGTCATACTGTAGCTCACACCCTCCTCTTCCTCTCCTGCTGAGAGATGTTGTCAGACGGATCAGTGTATTCATTAGAGCAGGACTAATTACATCACAACAATCAGCCCCAGTAGACCTGATGCACGCTCACACACACACACACACACGAGCTGTGAAGTGGATTTGCACACAGGAGCGCTTTAACACACAAAATTATTCATCTGCAAAATGCACAGACACAGTCAAACAGAGCTCTGAAGTGCACCCACACACACAAATCTGACTGATTCAACCCTTTTCTTTTTCGAGTCCGCTACATTTAACAACCGAGCGCGCACACACACACAAATAAAACACACACGAGTGCACCTGTCTGCCCCCCCCCCCCCCACCTCCCGTCCCGCCAAATCACATACGCACGGCCGATCAACAAATACTCTGGATTTCTTTGTGTTTCCTCGACGGCGGAGCGACCTGGACACCGTTATGGTGCTTTGCCATCCGGACGCGATTCGGTGTAATGAACAGCAAGCTGCCACTGATAAGGGAGAAAGTAATGAAGCCGTTTGAAATGACCCACTTCTGCTGCTACTTCAAAAGGAAAGACTGCATGAGTAAATATCTTTACGCTTACTCTTGGGATCGACATTCAGCAAGGCTTCCATCTTTGCTGGATGCTTTTTAATCAGGATGAAAAGGGATCATTTCTTTCCTTTCTGTGAGATGAAATATGTTTAAAAAGGTCAGCACATGCCAAAATTGCAAGTGTGCATACACAGAGGGATGTGGAACAAACTCTTTACGTAGATAAAAGTTGAATGTTTCTATAATATTGCTCTGAATCTCTTATAGTCGCACCTTCCAAAGCTCATAAATGAGCCACAAAGTAGAAATGTGTTGTCTGTGATGTTTGCCAACAAACAGGGAAGGAAATTACTGGGCCTTTTGTTTTTTCCTAAATGACTCACATCTGTGAAGATTAATGTCTTTCGTAGGAACACAGGGTTTGTGGATGACTGTTGTAGACGGGGTAGGAGAACATTTTTGTTCTTTTAAAAAAGTTTTTAAAAAGTGTGTACTCTTCCAACAGGATTTCATCCAAAAATACAGAATTTTCCAGTTCAAAACTGACTTTGAACCAACACAAAAATCACTGCTTCCCTAAAAGTCAGAATTAAACCACAATCAACCAGACAACATGACCTCTAAAACACGGTCAGTATCATCAATCATCAATCCAAGCTGTCCTCTTTGAGTCTCGGGGGTCTTTGGGGTTCCACTTTGCGTCCCTCACACACTGACCTCTACCACCAGGCGACTCTCCTGCAACTTCTCGACGTGACTGGGCTCCAGCTGGTTCTCGTCGTCCTGCTCTCCTCCCTCGTAGCGGAACAACAGGGGCACCAGGCAGCAGCCGCTGGGCCGACACAAGCCCAGCATCGGGACACCTCACAGTCCGGGCCTTTAGACCGGCGACTCTTAAGAGGGCAACGGCAGAGAGGAAGTTGCTCCCTCTACTTTTTACCCTTTGTTTTCGTTGCTATTCAGATCGTCGTCCTCCCATCTTCCTCTTCTTCTTCTCAAAGATGACTTCTACCGGTTTCTGCTGTTTCTACACAGCATTTCCCTTTAACCGTCTCTTTGTCGCTCCACGACTCGGCGGTGACTCTCCTTCCACAGCAGCAGCTCCTGGGACAATGTGATCACACTTCCTCCCTCTCAAACTTCCCGTC